TAGTCGCTTTCGATTGAAATTGATAACAGCAAAAAATATAACAAAATTGATGTCAAAATTAAAGGGTTGTGAGAACTATTTAGCGCGCAAACAATTGGCATTGCACTAAGTATTGTAATCTACTTTTTAACTCTTTTTTTAGATACCTCAAAGTACAATTCTTTATAGAAAACTTGCTATTTTTTCCACACTGCACAAACATAGTCCGAGTATATATATGAGAGACATATCAACGTGCAGATCGCTCCATCAACGGCATCTTTTGGGGGGCCTGCTTGATAATTTTCCGCTTGAGTGTGTGGCCCAAGTGCCTATAAGTGGGGTGTTTCTAGGCCCACTCGTATATACTATACGTATGTGCAAGTACATCTTTACTGACTGGCTGTGTTTAAGCGCAAACTTCGGTTGCTTGTGCTTTTAATTAGAATTAGCAAGTTGCCGCAAAATGAAATGCTCACACGATGCTTGCCACTGCCACAAGCACGATTGCTTTGCCTTGCCTTGCCTTGGCTGGCCTGCTTCCTCTTCTGCTGTGTCTTCACTTGCTTAAGATAATTTTGCCGTGAAAACATAAATTCAACTTGTTTTTATGTGCACGCACGCACACAACGCACAGAACGGAGACATAGTAAGAGTACAGAGTTGGACTTACATTCTGGGACACACGTAAACATTTTCGGAGACCCCATTTGCTGCCCCGCCCTTTCGGCAGCTGCTGTTTGGATTTTCTTGGAAAATTAACAGCACTCGTGGCTTTGATTTATCATGATAAGCGGATGTTGTTCTTGCTCGACATTGTGGTTATTCTTGCTGTTGTTGTTGTTGTTGCTGCTGCTGCTGCTGCTGCTTCTACTGGAGTTTGCATTTCATGCTCACATAACTTTTGGCAAGCAGCCTCATCGCACAATCATTATGCAGATTGATTTTGCCTGCTAATGAAGTTATCTAGTTTGGGGCCAAACTAATGGCAGTTACTCGTACTTGCCAGGCAAAGACGTTTGATAAACGACCTGACTTTTGGCAGTCTCTATGCGTAATTGCTAATGAAGGCTACACGACGTTGCATTTCTGACTTTAAGAAACTTAAATTCAATGTGCGTTACAATTTGTTTAAATGTACGCGCCAATGGCACAGAAAGCACATAAATTAATTAAAAGTCGGAAACAGATATAAATACAAAGTGTATGTACGAGTGTGTGTAGCCGGAGGAGGGTGAAGCATCAGAAGTGCCATCGCGACAGTTTGGCTGACAATAATTAAAGAAACTGCACAGCACAGCAACAGCAACAACAACAAGAACAACAAAAACAGCAGTTGCCTGCAAGCAAGCAAACAAACAAACAAACAGATATACAAACAGACGGACAAACAAACAAACACCCATGAGCTGGCATTAAAAAATGGCAGTCAACAGCTGCACACGCATGTGGGGCTGACGCTGACGCTGAGGCTGATGCTGAGGATGACGCGAAGATGAGCAGCAGCCGGAGCATCAAAAGAAGCAGCCAAGTCATCCAGCTTTGAGGGAAACAACTGCCACTTGGCCAGCATGCGTTGTCGTCATTCTACACAGAGAGAAAAGCATGAGTATAGAATGTAGAATAGATAGAATGTATATGGAATATGGATATAAAAGAATGCAAGAAAAACTGAAGTTAAGTCCTGGATAGAAATGGCATTAGGTTGATTGACAGAGTTAGATACAGTTAGACTTAAAGTTTTGAAATGGATCAAATGATGCGGGATTGAGATTCATTTGTAGCTAAAATTTGGTAATTTATAAATAATCAATTAATAAAATAATTAATTAATAAATAGTAATTAATAAATAATAAATAAAGAAGTTTAGGTCTGTTTTTCTATCTCTCCTCCCATATTTATTTTTCTCTTTCCCTCTTGCTCTTTCTACTTCCTACTTTTTCTAATAAGTTCTTAAATATAATTAATTTTCCTCCTCTACCAACCTTTTGTAAAGTTTTTTAGGTCTATAATGTCTCTGACCACATATAGCTGGAAATCGGGGCATAGCTGCCCAACTGGCAAGTAAAATTCCCCCCACGGTTCGGAGGCATTAATAGACGTTATTGTACCGCTTTGTGTTAGGCTTTCTTATCTTTTAAGTTTAGTTTAAATTGTTATATTAAGTTATATCATCATTTTATTTTTTATTTTAATAAATATAAAATGTTAAAATATATTTTAATTATTATAATCACAAGAATTATTGTTAATGTACTAAATAAAATAAAAAATAAAATAAAATAGAGTAACTTTGTTTTAGATATACCTCTAAATGTCAACGTCACAGAAAGTTGATTCTCCATAATAATTCTGCTGTTTTATTCCCATTTTGCTTAATACTTTTAATACTACTTATACATCTTGTTGTTTTTCAATACTTTTCTGATCTTAATTACCACTTGAATACGTATTAGTGCTAATTTAGATTCTATCGTATCCGCTGTGGCATGGCAGCATCAAGTATTTATAGCCATTAATATTTTGTAATGCAGAACTTATTATTTTTCAATACCTAAATGATTTTAAATACCTCTTAATTATATTTGAGAAACTAGAACAATCAGAAACTAAACTTAAGCATATATTTCTTTTTTGTTTTAAATGAACTTTATACTTGTATTCATGACATAATATTGTGAAATCCAACAATATTTGTTGTTTGCAAATTGTTTGTAAAACAATCCTTTTTTCCCTATTTGAGCCTCTGTGTCTAATGCTTTATTTATTCTATATATATATGCTATACACAATACATGTTAAATGTTTACGTACAAAACGGAATTATAAGCTTGCGCTGACACACTGCTCAAAAATATTTAAAAATCGATATTTTGAAAAGGCAACAAGAATGTAATGCTAGAATTCTGGGATCTTCTATGCAATTTTTTCATAATAATCATTATTTTAAAGCCATTTAGTTTTAAAAAGCCAGCAAGAATAGAATGCTATACTTGTATTGCCATACTGATCTCTCACACTTTATTCTCTCCAAACTAGTATATCCTTTCATTACTGCATGTAAAGATTTATTTATTGTCATGAAATTAAACAAAATTAATTTTGTTGAGTGTGGCTGTTGCATGTGGCAATTATTTGTGTCATAGTCATATATGCAATGCCGCCACCGCCACCGCCGCCACCGCCACCGCCGCCACTCAAATTGAAAACATCAACAGAAAGAAGCCGGAGCATGACTATAACTAAGTATGACGATATTCTAGACAACCGAACAGCCAACCAACCAACCTTCTTCTTCCTCTGCTGGCTACCCTCACAATTTGTCAGTGCAATGCTGCTTGGTTAGCACTTAATCATCGCAACGTTGATAATAATGATGATGAATGTGATGACAGTGTTTTAAAAAAACCAAACAACAAGAAACCAAGAAACACACATACAGACGATAGTAAAGTTTAATTGTTGCACAAATAAAAAGAAAGGCGACAGCGACAACGACGCTTTATTTATTTTTATTACATTCGGAGGTCGCGTGGGTTTTTGGCCATTGGAGTTAAGTAATTTTTGTGACTTGGCTGCACAATGATTTGTGACTTTAAATGGATTGCAGTTAGGTTGTTATGCTAAGATAATTGCGCGCTCAAAGTCAAGAGAAGGAGCTAAGTATGCCATTAGACCGAATAGGGTTGAGTAAGAAAACTTACGTTGCTAAAATCCAAATGGTTATTAGAGGAAGCGTCTCTTGAATGGGGGAAAAGCTGCATGAAAATGTTAGTAATTGTTTGGAGTTACAAAGTGCAAGTCAGAGAGTTACAAATTAAGAAAATATACACAGTTATACTATACTTACTATATACATGTCCAACTTTTCAAAATATGAATAAATTTAATTGAACCTAAAATACATATTTTAGGTTCAATTAAATTTATTCATATTTTGACAAGCTGAAAGGGAGATATACGATTAGTTTAGAATTGAAATACACTTGATTTAGGCTTCTTGCGTAATTAATGTCGAGTTTATACAACTAAAATTTGTATTATCCTCGAAATTATATAATATTATTTACTTGTAAATATAAGTTTTCCATTTCTTTACAGACATATATTCCATTTGGTAAATTATTAATGCCTGAGGGTATAAATATTTTAAAGAATAATAAATGCAAATATGAGTAGCTGTGTTTTTTAAGATTTAAAACTTATAAGAGTTTGACAAAATCTTAAAAATATATTAATAAAAGCAGCGGTAGAGTGCAGAAAGAACGATGACTAGGGAAACACAAAAATATTCGCTTTACTTATTTTATTGTTATTTTCAGTTCCATTTAAAAAAAAAAAATATTGTAATGTTAAAATTAAATTACAATCTGGATGTTAAAACAGCAAAAAGCATTTTCTGTATTGCTTCTTTTTGTAATATTTTAATTTCGATTTCCTAACGACTTTATTTAAGTTCAGTTCCTTCAATTTGTATAGTCAGTATTAGGAAATCAGTTTTCGTTGCACTCTGCTCATATTTTGTGCTGTTCAACAGCATTAAACATTTGAGCATTTTATCTATAGAGCTCTGCCAGAGCGTTGCATAAAACTTGTTTTATACATAAAACGAGCGAAAAAATAAATAACAAAAAGTCACATGTCAATTGACTAATTAAAAGCCCGAGCGATAACCTTTCATGTCAGCTTACAACCGAGTTGAGGTTTTTATATACGAGTAGTAGCTGCCTTGTTTTTTACAGATGCAGTTCAAGTTTCAGTTTGTTTGTTTGCCAACCAAACGATTTTACTTTTTAGACATTAAAATACGAGCAACTCAAATGAAATGCCGTCATTTGCTCATGAACTTTCAAAAGCAGTGCATTTTAAAACAAATTTTTCAATGTAACTGTAGCCTTTTCCATACAAACATACACTTCCATACATACATAGATGTTAATTAACTTAAATGACAAATAAATGTTTGACCATCAATTATGTAAAATTTAACCTTTTTCTCTCTCACATTTTCTCATTGCAGTTGAACTTTTTGGCAGCGTACGAGTTATAATTATGGTAAGCAAATAAAATACGGCATTTTTTTGTTTAATGTTCGACTAGAGCTCACATTGTTATTTGCGTATACTTTTAAGCTTTCTGTTCACATGGCAATTACATGGGAATTTACATAAAAATTAGCAACACTTGAAGAATTTTTTCATGTCAAACATTTCTCCAGAGACGCATATTTCTTAATTTATGCCTCGCGCTCTCCGGCAAATGAAGGAGAATCCGCTCGCACTGGCAAATGAAAATTTTATGTTTTCGCATATTTCACAAATGTAAGCTCTAGTTGAAGTAGTAACAGCAGAAACAACAACAACAAAAGCCATAACAAGTATGCACATTAGCTGCAGAAGCAACGAAAAGTATATACCCTTCTAAGTGGAGTTATTAGTTCCTGTAATAAACCGGAATTGGAGATAAAAAGCAGAAGAGCCAAACGATTGGAATTTGAAATGGAAATGTTAAATAAATAGTAAATATGGTGATTGTTTATCTTTAGATATTTGATTAGTTGCAAACTTCATACATCAAATAAAAAATACGATCTATTTTCTCTTATCAATCATACCCAATAATAACTGAACAAAAAGTTAAACTGATGAAATCATATACTATATTTTTGTCCCTGATCAATGATCAATACTTTTTAAGAAATCCTTCCTTTATAATATCTTAAATCATATAGAGCTCCAATTTAGCTGATCATAGAAGGGTAAGCAGATAATGCTGCTTGTAGAATTGAGAAGATTTTAATCTAAATTTCTACAAACTGCAAAGAAACCGGAAGAATAGTAACATAGTCGGCCCATCATGACAAAATATGTACTATATACATACTTGATAGGACATATTTATATATAGGTTTGTATTCAAAGGAGCATGTTTTAACAGAATTGCAACAATATAGTCTCATTCGTCAGATATTAATATATTATAGCAAAAATAGGCAACCACTTTACATAAATTTCTAAAGCCTATAAGAAATACAATTTGCAAAGAACTTGACTTGCCAAACAAACAGACGAGCAAACATTCAAACAAACAATCAAAAAGACAACCTTTACAATATATTCTTGAGAAGCATGTTAATTCTTAGCTACCTTACAAATACGAGTATTACAGTTAATGTGAAATGCTGCGTGGCAGAGTATTGCGACAATGGTGAGAACTACAGCAAGAATGGGAACAGGGTTGGCAACTTTGTGCTTACTTTAAAAGTTTTGCATGCGCAGCTCGCGCTGCCCTGGGCTGCCATTTTGACCACTTAATATACAATGAGTAATGTTTAAATGTAACCAGGACAATAGAGGCAGCAGCAACAGTAAAGGCAGCAGCAGTAGAGGCAGCAGCAGCAAGTGCCGCAGGGAGTTTACACTCTGAGCTGCGAGCAGTAGAGCTTCTGTGAGAATTCCAGCATGCAATTTATATTCGACACTTGGCCGAGCTTCTGCTTCATAGAGAACTGGGTCAGTCAGTGTTGCATGTGAAGTGGCAACACAGCCGCATAGCTGTTGTTACTACTTCTGCTCCATATATGTATGTGCGTGTACATATATAGTACACTATACGAGATATCGTACATACTCTGTGTGTGGCGAGGTGTTGAGCTTAAGCAGAGAGTGGCAGCATCCTTTTATCTTTACCTCTTCCACTCTCTCCACGGCTCGGGCATACGAGTATTGTTGTGCCCTTTAAATTGTTTGCTTAAAAATTAAACTGCACTTTGTAAAATGTTCTTTTGTTCCTTGTCTGTCTCTAGGTCTGTCTTTCTGGCCTTGTCAGTTGTAAAAACAATTCACTTACAATTCAATTGATTGCTTTTCAATTTTCTGGCAAGCACATTGGGCATACTTGTATGCGTAATTAATAATTTGAAAGCTACAGAGCGCTTACACAGAGACAACAATAAAGCAAACCAAACCATAAATAATCTTGTGCACAATTTCCGGCTCATTACACGGCCATGCTTCCTATCCTATCGATATCCTTCTCCCTGGCAGGAGCCAGCCAGCCTCTGTCAGCCTCTTTGTGTGTCAATTTTCATGTCTAGACGCTAGACAGTCGCACAGCTTCGCATCAATTGCGCAAATTGGGCTGTCATTTTGCCATTTTGTCATTTTATCATTTTCTCCGCCCCTGCGGCACGCCTCCTCGTTGACCATTTCGGGCCTGTTTGCGGTCACCCACTGTGTGGTCAATTAATTTTACGAGCATTATGCAAAGTTCTATTAAATACTTAGTTGTTGTTCAAATATTCAAAATTTTACTGTTGTTGTTGCTGCTGCTACTGCTGATTAGCAGCGTTTGTTTTTGTAGAGCACTTTGCTGGCACTTTTGTTGCTTTTATCTCTGTGCGGCTCAATGGCTGCTCTTTGGTTTATGATAAATGTACTCATAATGCGAGCTAATTGTGGCTTCATTAGCACAAGTAATAAGAATAATTGCCCCAATGATGTGCGGGATGATAATGTTGCTATGGTTGTAGTCAGAGTGTTTAAAGTCCCAGTCCGAAGTGAGAGCCTAAGTGGTGTAATTGGTTGTTTTTGGTTTTTAGAATAATGCTCAGTCAGCATAGCTTTGAAATTATTATTATATTATTTCCCTTAAGGCTGAAGTTGCTGGGCTACAAAAAGTAATTGCGGTAGAGAAAGTGCGCGAGAATTTTTTAACTGAACTTTTAACACATCAAGCGGTTAGGAAATACAATATTTTGAATATGACTTATTATTATTAATTCCCAGACTCTTACGACGTTACGATTGCTATTATATATTAGCACAAAGGTTTTTAAGTTGTCTTCTCATTCAATAGAGTCAAGAAAGAATTGTCAATAATATTGTTTTCTTTGTCAGCTAATGTTATTAGCTTAACGAACCAACAGAAATCCCATAATGTGAGTTCGTTCCTGAGTATTCGGTTCGAATCACAGCATGATTTAAAAATTGTGAAAATTCTGTAAGAGTTGTTATCTAATAAAAATCTGCAAGCCGATTCCACAGCATTAAATAGTAATAATAAATAAAGCTTATGTTATCCAAAGCTTTGCATCAGTGTTCTTTTACAGTCTTATCGGTGTTTTTACTTTTTGTTTAAAATTCGAACGTAAATGAAAAGCTTAATTCTGTACATATTTGTTTATCATCGTTAAATTTCTGAATTTCTCACTATATAGTATGTCTGCTAAAATCTACGTTCTGGTTGTCAGCTTTGATGCCAGAGATAAAAGCCATTTGGTATTCTCTAATTAAATAATTGTCAGCTAGGTTTATGAACCAATCTTACAAAAGTTTTATGTCAATCGTTACTAATTCTGTAGCATGAAATTATGTATTTAAATTGTTGGGAGGAGTGGTTCTATTTGCAGACATCATTTACATAATTGCGTAAACACCTTCAAAAATATAATAAGCATTTGCTATTAATAACTCATGTAATAATGCTTAAGTTCTTGCATAGTCTGACAACTTGCCAGAACCACTGACTCCTCACATCACGCCTCAATTCGTTGTCGATGTTGATGTCGATGTGGAAGTCGAAGTCGAAGTCGAAGCCGTAGCCTGTCACTCGACATGTATTGGCAACAAAGCAAATCAAATTTAATGATAAGCTCAAATGGAAGCACATGTCTTTTCCGCTTGATTGCAAGCCCTGTGCTGATGAGATCTCGCCGTCCCTCTCTCTCTTTCTTTCTCTCTCACGCTCTCCGACTCGCTTTGAGTCAACGACAAAAGCGTAAACAAGTACTGACAGCAGCAGCAACAGTAACAACAACAGTAACAGCGGCAGCAACAGACAAGTACAACAACAACAACAACAACAACATTCACTAATTTAACGCGCCGCTTGGCCAAATGATGTGTTTGTACGTCGCTGTTCCTGTGTGTATATGTATGTGTTTGTGCTTGTGTTTGTGTGCAAGGACCTGCGCCATTTTTGCGCACAAGGCTAACGAAGCGCAAAGACAGACAAGCGAAAGCCAGCCATTGTCATAATTTACTGATTTTTATTTATGGCATAATTTTAGGCGCTGCCGTTCGCATAAAGCGCAGGAATTTATGCCAACGCGCGCAGCACAAAAATAAAAATAAACCAATACAGAGACAGAGACAGCGTGTTGGAAAACAAAGTCTAGACCCCAAAGCCGTTGTTTGTGTTAATTGTGTAAATTAAATTAGGCGCTCATGTTAAGTCTTAAAGTTTATGAGCTGAAGTCAGGTGCTTGTGTGGTTCCGCAAATCGCTTAAGTGGTTATAAAACTAACGTAATTGGATTGCCAAGAAGTTCTGTGAAGAATTTATTAAATTGGAGCAACATTATGCGAATAATAAAATCACTAACAAGTTATACGAAATTCTAATTACAATTAGTTTACATACATAGAAACTGAAAATTAAATGAAAATGAATAAAAAAATAGCAGGTCTTTCTTAATTGTCGTTTAAAAACAAATTGCTCATTAACTCTGTGTGGAAAGTAATTGCATTAAATCGTTAAATATTTAAACACATTTGTTTAAGCATTGGAAAAAGTTTGAACGCATACTTTGAAAGGATTTCCACATTTCTTAACTGAAATGCAGAACAGCTTTCATCTAAGAATCAGCGTGATTTGTTGGTCTAATAAAAAAAACCATAAAAGTTCACAACTATTTTAAATATATTGTAAGTATATTTATAAAAAAAGTATATTTATAAAAAAAAGTACTTACAGATAATATTTAGATTTTATTTCAAGCATTTTCAACTTAACTACAAGGCCATCTTTTGACCTAATGAAGGGTGTCGGCTGATAGTTCAGTTGGACTGCTTCGGCCATAGCTGGTTCCAATTCCAGGTGAAAGTTTTGCAATAACTTAACAAGTGCCGTTTTTATCACCATTTTGGCAAAGTTTCGAGCTAAAAAAGGGACAGTGCATCCACTTGGTAATTACTGAGACTGCACTGGAATTGTATGAATAAAATAAAACTCACCCACACACTGTGCGCCCCCCATGCCATAGCCCATAAAGGATGTTGACTCTCCTTTGCCAGCAGCACAGTGCTTATCATCCAGCTGGTCATGCAAAAAGCGCAAGGGCTTGTATTTCAAGGGCTCACTGAAATACTTCTCATCGCGCTGTATGGCCAACACGGGCACCATCAGGGTCTTGCCCTCGCCAATGGTGTAGCGACTGTTGGGCAGTGTGTAGCTTTTGCGACAAATGCGCTCAATAATGGGGACTGGCGGATATTTGCGCAGCGTTTCTGCAAATTGGCAATATACGAAATGATTTTGCATCGCATAGTTTGGCAACATACCCTTCAAGCACATGTCCATGTACTTCAAGCCATTCAATTGCTCGAACTCGAGCTGAACTACTTCTGTTTCATTGACGTTCAGCTCCTTGACTTCAGCTTGCAATTTCTCCAGCATGAGCGGCTCCTGAAGGACTTCGAAGAGCGCCAGCGTGGTGGTGGCTGCAATGCTTTCCAATGACATTTTCAGCATGTCTTCGGCTACCTTGGCCAAATGTTTGATAGACAGCACCTTTTCTTGCTCTAAAGAGCAACGGATTAACAAGTGGTTGCAATTATTGGAAATTAAATTATTTGGGGAAGCAAATTTAAAAGGAGAAAAGGGGGAAAATTGGAAGTGTCTAGAGTTCATAAACATACAATTTTTAATTTATTGATTTATATTTGATTAGAAGTTAATTTGTTTGCAAGCCTTATAATAAATAATAAGTAGCTGCACTGAAAAAATAGCTCCTAAATTTTACTAAGTATGCATGCAACATATCTTTCTTTATTAAATGGCTGTCTAACACTTAGGAATAATAATATGTGACTAACTCTAACCAACTTTTTATTTTCATAAAAAATGTGTATTTATTTATTCGCTGCTTTCATAATAGAGATGGCAATAAAATGTCGTGGAAGGCAAACAAAAATATGTAAAAAGCAGGCTTGAAACAAAATAAGACAACTACTAAACGGAACTAAAAGCTGTCTTACTACTTGTATATAGTATATCTCCTAAGATAAGCACTTTGGCATTATATTGAAAGAACAAGTGAGTAGAATGGCTATCATCAAAAGAAAGTAGAATAGAAAATCATTTACAATTATCACAGCTTTCATCAGATTCGACACAAACAAGTTCTAGGGTCAAAAACTGATTTAAAATTAGTTGAAAACAATAACCAAAATTTTAAAGAGAATTCAGTGTGATTTAAAAAGTGTTGCTACTCTGATATTTATCATACCTCTCACTAATAAGCAATTTTGTTAAACTAAGTAAGTAAATTCTTTACAAATTTTAAATTTTCGAGATCAAAAAGAAACTGATTGTTGCAAGAGTTCAGTCTGTTAGCTAAGGCCAAGCGCCTTCTTACCATAAACGTGTTCCACATGCCACTTTTGTTTGCCGCTATTACAAAGCTCATCTCCATTACGAAACTTAACCAAAAGCTGCAAAATATCCTTGCGTATGAGGCCGTTGTCCTCACGTTGCTCCACGCTGGATTTGATAAGATCGCGTAGACGATAGGTGAATGACGATTTCTTTTGCAGGCGACTCAGTGTGCTGAAATATTAGAGTGTGATGAAATCTTACGATGAAATTGATAATTAGACTATTTAAGCTATCTTCTTGGAGTATCAACTCTACTATAATCTGCTACTTACAAGGACTGCCAGCTGCTGCGTCGCCTGTCGCTGCTCACATAGCTGGTGAATATGTGATCCTGCTGCTCGAAATTGTTCACATCCAGGCCATAAACCAAATTGCCAATAATGTTGATGGCATAACTGCATATTCCAGAACCTTGTATTAGTCTCAAAACATCTCTGCCATTATGACTTACATTCTCAGCAGCTGTTGCATGTCCAGCTCCAATGTGCCCTTATCCTGCTGCACTGCTCGGCGCACCAAATGCCGCATCATATGGTCGGCCACACGTTCCACATTGCGAAACATATCGGAGAGACGAGGTGTACTGAACATGGGTGCCAATTTCTCAAGTAAATTGTAGCGCCTGTAACCTCTGACCAAATCCCATTTGCCATCATTGAAGTGTCCATTAGCCTGCTCCAGAATTGTGCGGGCCAGGTCGACGCTGCGCACTAGTAGGACCGGCCGAAAGAAGCAGTAGATGCCGAGCAGTCGCTCCCGACCCATCTGATAGGCCTCCGAAATGGCCTCGACATGTCGGAATTCGCGTTTGTAGGCGCGACAAAGAAACGACCAGCAGCAGGAGACGCGTTCGCTTGGGAATCCTTTCCGTCCCCAGTAGCTGTAGACGTGACGGACGTACAGAAATACCAGACAGTAGAATAATATGGGCAGTAGCAGCCACATTCTGAGATTTGTGAGCGTGCGTTCGGGCTCACATGCGTCAGCAAACTGAATTGCACAGATAATTAAAGTTCGCCGTTGGCTGCGTTTTCATCGGCGTCTGCCGCTTCTTATTGCTGTCGATGCTGATGCTGATGGTGATGCTGATGGTGATGCTGAGGATGCCGATGATGAAGAGGATGATGAACGAAATCGAAAGTCGCTTCTTCTGCGACTAAATATACACAGCTTGTCTGACGAGCTGCGCTCAACTGACAATTCAAGCCAACAATGTTGTGTTGCCTGACCAAAAAACCTAAAAACCAATGCCGGCAAATGCCGGCGCACTATCGCATTATTGTTGTCTGCTTATCTCCCATTCTCTCCCTGGACGCCGTCCTCCTCTTCTTCTCACTCAATCTCTATCTCCCGCTCTCGGACTGATAATGAGAGCGAGCGCCGGCGGCAACCCCGGCCATCCTGATAATATAATTTATACAGCAGCGGCTGTACCATTATAGTCATTATCAGGAAACATGACAAGTTTTTACTTATACTCGTATTGTTTATATGCAGTTGTCGGCCGTGAAAAGACGCGTTGCCCGGCAGCCAGCAGCCAGCAGCCAGCAGCCGACCAGCCCCCTGACCCCTTGTCTATCATTCAGCAGCGCACACGTTCATGGTCTTGCATTATGCTCCGAAAATGATAAGCAAATTGTATCTATATGCACTCATCTACAGCAATAATCGTTTAGCTGCTCGCCATTATCTGACAGAAAACAAACACTAGCTATTACAACATTTATTTTCTTGAGAACGGGCAATGTTGTAATACCTAGGAAATAAAAGTTGGAAGACACAGAAAACTACGACTTTTGAAAAATTTTGCACTGCAAATACAAATTGAAACTGACCTGAAACCTAAAACCCTAAACAGTTTCTAATTAGGGGGGAGATTTCTTATTTTCGATGCAAATCATTAATGCATTCAATCGTTTTTGAGAATGTTTGCTAATTTCTGTACAAAAAAAATTATGACCTCTCAGGTAAACTTTAGAAGATATTGTTTTTGATCAACAATAATTATAAATAGATTATTTCTACGCACTTGTGTTTTTTCATTAAATTATTTTGTATACACAAAATTGCCCAATTGTAGCAAAAAGTAGGAATATGTACATATGTATGAGGAGTGGGCTTAGATTTTGTGGTGTTTCTGGCTTTTAAATATTTCAATATGAGTTTATTGTTGTGTATTGATGGGCTTGAGAAAATTTATAATACATATTTAATTAGTTTCTTATATACTTGGAAATGAATTTTATAAAATTGTGTTAAAATTTAACAAATTACAAAAAATGCTTTTAATTAAAACTGACACAAAACAGTCTTCAAGAAAAAGTAGCAAACATTCAAATGAAATATTTAGATTCTTAATAATAATAAATCAACAAGTAGAAGCTGTTGAGTAGATGACAAAAAACACGTTACGGAAAACCCTATAAGTTGGGAAATCAAAAGTAGCCATTAATCTCAGATAGCTATAAAAGTTTCTTACGAATTCTTTACATTTTTAACTTTTAGAAAAAAAACTTCGTTTGTTCATAAATCCTGTAGATTCCAATATGTATTTAAACTAGGGAGTCTAACATTTATTACGCATTTATTTGCATTACTCGCATATTTGTTATGAATTATATTCGACAGTCTGTAGTTTTCAGAGACTCATCACGAAATAGAGTGAAAACGACTAAACAAATCATAAAAGTGTATACTATATACAGTTCATAGTACACATAGATGATTAATTTAGTTTTTAAATAAAATGAAAATACATAGCAACAGTACAAAGCCTTATCAGCTCTGCTTAGGTCAGGTCAGGCACGCTTCTCTAGACTCATTCTCGAGCTACCTCTGGTTGGCTGAGAAATACTGAAATTAACCAATATTTTCACCAACGCCACCTTGATAATGACCATGGTCAAGGATTTAGCTGTAAACAGTTTTTTTTTCACAATATATAGACTCTAAAATTCCCTAGAATAGGCGACTTACCAATGCACTGCTTTGGTCCCAAGCCAAAAGGTGTATAAGTATTTCGCTTTGCATCGAATCTGTGTGGATCATATCTATTAGGATTAGGAAAATAGTTGGGATCGCGGTGTATGCCAATGAGGGAAATTAAAATTAGTGTGCCCTTTTTAATGGTGTAGTGAGAATTGGGAACACGATAGTTCTCTGTGCATTTCCGATGAATAAAAGGAATAATGGAGTATTTCCGTACGGTTTCTGTGGCAAGAAATAGAGGAAGAACACTTAGGCAAGTGGAAAACAGAAGAGATCAACAAAATTCACCCATTATGCATAAATCCATGAATTTAAGATCCTGCACAGCCTCCAGGGTGAGCCTGTCGGTGCGACTTAAGTTGTGTCGTTGAAGGACTGCAGCCAACTCTTCGAGGACTTCCCTCAAGATGGGAGGAGAATTGGCCAACTCGTAGAGGGTGCAGGTAGCTGTGGCTGCTGTAGTCTCCGTACCGATTGTGTAGAAGAGTAAATACTGTGCGGCTAATTGCTCCATCGATAGGGCTTTGATTTCCTGCTTCGTTTTCCCCATATCCAATACTTTAGCAGCAATCTTTCTAGCAGGGCGAAAATGCATGAACAGCTGTAACATATCCTTGCGAATCACGCCATTTTTCTCTCGCAACTTCATTGTGCGCTGCAGAAGGGCGCGCAGTCTTAAAAGATCGCTGTTACCAATCTCGAAGCGGCTCATTAATTTACCTAAGCTGACATAACAAAATAAATGAAATGAACAAGTGTAAAATTTCTATATGCCTGTCTCTATTGGTTGAACAGATATTGACGTTCATACAGACAAACAGAAGGACAGACCATTCGGGTACGGTTTTTCTTAACATTCCCACTTACTTACATTGGACATACTAAGGCGACCAGATTGTATATTTGAATGGAAAGAGTTGGCTCCTCTATTAATCGGCCCACTGCGCGCAATTCGTTATTGGGCTTTGTGAAGCTATCAATGTCCTGTCCAAAGATAACTGAACCCACAACATCCACAGCATACGTTGACAATCGTTGGCTCATATTCAACACTACCTTTTGCTTTTGCTTCATGGCGCTATTCAAATGTTGAACCAGTTTTTCGCCCACATCATCGATAGTACCAACCATGTCCTTAAGATTCCCTAAACTGAACGCTGGATCCAGCTGGGTCCGCATTTTTCGCCAGGCAGTCCACGGCATATTCAACAAATTGGCCGTAAATTCGTCATAGTTGTTAGCCACGGAGATTCCCCGGTCGCAAAAGCTGCCAGAGTCAGTTGTAATTATTCTGCGCGCCAGCACCACATCCCGCACCAATATAGCCTGTATGAAATACATATAGATGCCGACAAAATTGGCATTATGTCGTGCATAAATATCGTTCAAAGCGAGACCGAAGTTGCGCTCCCCTCTCAACACCACGTCCATCATGCCAAGTGGAAACTTGCCACGCTCCTCAGCTATGCCCTGACGTCGCCAGTATGTGAATCGAAGTCTAAGGATCTCGTAGACTAACGATGTCGCCAAAATAAGTAAGACCAGAGTATACATGCCGATCGCAGTCTAGACAAAGTACGACTGTGAGGTTTCTATTCTGTGCAGTCGCTGAGTGAGGAAAATTGCAATTTGAAATGCATTTAGAAAGCAGGAAATTGTATTTTATTTGCTTTATTACATTTATTAACAATAAATGAGCAATGATTTTCAGACTCGCTTCGTGAGACGCACCTTCAGGCCACTCTTAGGCACCATGACTGGGGAAGCATCGAACTTGTACTCCACTTCTTTGCGCGGCGCCTCGGCGATATCGAAGTTGGCCAATACCTTGGTCACAGCCACCTTCGCATTCACTTTCCCCATTCGCAGGGCTATAATTGCAAGAGTCATGCCGCGGCTTGTAAATGAACGGCCATGAATACTCACCAATGCAGTGCCTAGGACCCTCACCAAAAGGCATATAGGCGGTTTGATCGTAGTTCGGCGACTGCGTGTCGAATCTGTGTGGATCATAGTCACTGGGATTTGGGAAATAGTTGGGATCGTGATGCATGCCAAAGAGTGAAATCAAAATTGGAGTGCCCTTCTTGATGGTGTAATCGGAGTCCGGCAGTTTGTAGTCTTCTGTGCACTCGCGATTGAGCATTGGAAGTCCCGGGTACTTGCGTACAGTTTCTGTTTATAGCAATAACACAGTTGAATGGAAAAGAAAATAATACAATTGACAAAGCATTCTACCCATGATGCACAAATCCAAGAACTTGAGGTCCTGCACCGCCTCGTATGTCAGCTTATCAGTGCGCTTTAAATTGTGACGTTCAAGTACGGAGTCTATCTCGTTCCTAGCTTCCTGCAGGAGCTCAGGATACATGGACAGCTCATAAAGTGTAAATGCTGCTGTGGACGCCGTTGTCTCCGAGCCGGCTGCATAGAAAAGAAATCCCTGAGCGGCAATCTTATCTATAGACATGGCTTTAAGGTCCTCTTTCGCTGTCTCCATGTCCCAAACTTTGTCGTCATCATCACCAATCTTTCCAGTATTGCGCAGGCGTATTAGTAGCTGCAATAGATCCTTGCGAACCACATTGTTTTGCTCCCGAAACTCGATGGTCTGCTGCATAATGTCGCGCAAAGTTTTCAGCACACGATTCTCAAAGCCGAAGCGGTTCATGGCCTTAGCTATTCTAAAGGATGGAATGATATAAAATTATTGGGACTCCATAAATTGTGCGACTTACGGGGGGCATACAAAGGACGCCATGTTGTGTATCTTGAGGGCCAAAGCCTCCTGCTGAAAGAGTGTGCTGCTCACTCTGCGAAACTCATTATCCGGATTGGAGAAACTATCAATGTCCAGTCCAAAGATAACCGAACCAATGATATCCACCGCATATGTGGTCAGCTTTTCCTTAATTTCAATCTCCACCTCCCGTTTCTCCTCCACTATGCCGCTCAAATGCTGGACCAGCTTATCGCCCACATCATCGATGGTATTAAACATGCCCTTGAGCTTCCCCGATGAGAACGAGGGCGTTAGTTTGGCCCTCAAATTTCGCCAGGAAGCACCACGCAAGTTAAACAGATTCGCCGACAACTGATCGTGCTCCTCATCGATGAAGATTCCACGATCGTGGAAGCTATCGAACTCACTGGTCAATATTTTGCGTGCCAGCTCCGCATCGCGCACCAATAAAGTCGGCTTATAGCTCATATATATGCCCACAATTTTGGAGCTGTGCCTCTCATAAATATCCCTTACAACGAGTCCAAAGCTTCGCTCTTGTTTCACCACCGCATCCAGCATGCCGAACGGGAACTTGGCAGCCTCCTCAGCTAATCCTTCCCGTTGCCAGTGTGTATATTGGCGTCTAATGAAATAATAGAGCAGGGTGACGCCCAAAACAAGGAACAGCCATAGAACTGTATACATTTTCTTCGAACAAACAAACAAAGCGAGCAATGAAAACAATTTGCGACTGTTGAGAAATTAACTCGGCGAATAACTAAACGGCTTGCCTCTTGCTTTTGAATTAATAGCGTAATGTTTGTTCAGAGATATGAGTATCATGCACACTCTCTTATAAATTATATATATATATAGGGTGTTCAGTGCGCTTGATAGAACAGTTTTGCCGCACAATCTGTCAAAACAGATAACATTTATAACAGTCGCCCTCTAAACGTATTCGTATGCCGCTCAAGTTCTGAACATTTAAAAAAAATATAGTATACAAGTCTCTCTGTTGTGCGGCTGCTAGGCTTTGGGTGGGCCGGGTATGTATTTAAATTTTAATTACTTGCTAAAGCTTTAAGTTGTAATTTGTTTATTTAACTGTTTGCAAGTGAGTGAAGAAAAAAACTCGTTTTCTAGCTTCTAAACTGCAAAGCTTCCTAAGGCAGAGCTTGAAATAGTTGGCTCTCTTTCAGTTTCGAAAACTGCACATGTATCAAGAATTTTTATTTATTTAATATTATATATTTATTTATATTTATTTAATACTTGGAATAGCTTGCTTTTAAGCCGCCCTTAGCTGCCAGAAGTGAAAATGCATGGAATTCAAATTGGATTCCCAGAAACGATGCCTTTGTGGCTTTAAAGTATTTAAGCCATAATCGCTTGTGCATTCAACTGACCTAAGCATAAGTATTATAGCCGTCGAATGGAATGCCCAGCTGAAATCAAAAGCTAAAGATAACTCAACAAAGCAATGCCAAGGACCCTCATCAAAGGCGCACTAGCATGATTGTCTTCCAGAATCTAGAATAGATATAGGTCCACAATCTTAGCGCTATGTCCATCTCATCTCCAAGACTGAAGAAGCAAAGGATTCTTCATCGTTTCCATCAAGCTCTCTCGGCAGTAGCTCTAACAGCGTTATATGAACTGGTAGGACAGATTACTGATCGAACAGCATTAATATAGAAGACACCATGGTGGCAAACAAAAAAGTACAAAGTGTTTTCTGAAATAGACTCGCCAATTAACTAACTGGCTAGGCACTTCTCTTTTTGTGCTTAGTTCAGATAAAGTATTATTTCTTGAAATAACATACACGACCATTATCTCTATGCGATAACGATTTTAACAGAATTCCGCTTAGTTTTGTTGAGCGTTTAAATTCTGTTTACGCTCCCAGTGTAAACAATTCGAATGCCGCTCTCTGTGAGCTTTAAATAGAACCTTTCAATGATTATTCCAATGGGCTTGCCATATGTGTTTTCCATTATTTGCTGAATTTGTTTGCTTAAGCACGCCGCAATTAAATGGCATTGCAATTATTGTGTGGCACTTGCTGTCTAGTGTCTAGACTCTGGCTAAGTGGCAATTAGCGTAGTTGCAAGTTGCAATTCGATTTAGTTGGCTAAGACGCTGTGCATCGAGACTGGTGATGGTTAATTGCTTGACACAAATGATAGTTTAGTTGCAGTACGAGTTTATATTGTCGATTCAAACGGGCAATTATATGATATGTGTCCTAGTTTGGTTTGATTAACTTAGTGGAGCTGTTCTAACAATTTTTGAACTGATAAAGATGCCATTACCCGTTCTTCAATTTCATTCTTCAATGCTTACGAAGTCATCCCAACAAGCGTCAGTTTTTCATGTTAAGCCAATAGTGTGTGAAAAGTTCCTAAACCGACTGGCGGGAAGCTGTTAATCAAGCCAATTTCATGGCAAGCGTTAAAAAATGCAAATTTTGTTTACAAGAAAAAAAGGGCACGACATAAAAGAGGTCTAAAAAAAATGCATTGAAATTTTTGTATTATTACGAGCGCGACACGTCAACACGCCAACGGCAACCGGAGGCAATTTTCCACTGCACTGAATTGTTATAGCCAGGTAGGAAGGCTTCATATGCTTGTGTGGGTGCCGTAACTCACACACTTGTTGCGCTTCCCCTCCCCTCCCTTCCCCACCCGTCCCTTCCCTTAGCCTCTCTCCCGTAATTGTATGTTGCTTGGCAGAGGGCCTGTGGGAATTTGATTTAAATAAATATAGAGCAAGCATGGCATTATCAAATGTTTTATTTTCCGCTTTCGCACATTTATTATGGCACTGGCGAAGTAAATAAAATCAAAATTGGGCCCACATTGTGGGTTGGCAGGTCAGGCAATGTTCCAACTGACAATAGCAAGTACGACTTGTCCACATAACTACAAGTAGATATTGACAGTCTGCGGCAAATGTTGCAGCTTAGTATTTGAACTCTTGCCAAATCGAGTGAGGCATGCCCATAAAAATCTCATCGGCAATTGTTATGGTCAATTTAGTTGGCCAGAGCTTGCCAACTTTTGAGGACTTATGGATAGTCATGCTGGTCACAACTTGCAACAGCTTGCTGCAACGGCCAGCCACTCTTAAATGCCAAAGTCATGGCAAAAATTGAAAGTATAAACGACTTGACCGTTTTGTCGAGTCATCCGCTTTATTTTTCTCCTCCCCTCTCCTCTTAGTAAATAAATAAACAATGTTGCATATATATACATACATATACTTGTATTTTTTCATTATAAACAAGCAGATGAATCTGACAATTTTCGGGACGAGCACCAAGGCACTCAAGCTTGAAATTATTTGTATCAATTTGTTTTTGTTTTTCTGAATGTTGAGCCGGAGATTGTATTGGGTTTCACATTTTACTCATTTCTATACTATCCTTCTTGCTTCGATATGCGGCAGCTGCTTGAAATTGAAATGTTTATGCCACGTCCAACACATTTGCGAACAGAATTTAGTGTTTATCCTTATACTTGTATGAGCAATTTGAGCTCTTCGTGTCTTAGAAATTTAGTTTTCGTTTAACTAATATTGTTAAGTTCAACTAGTTCTTATTATTTATTTATTTATTTCAACTTAAAGGCTGCTCATTAATTGTAAAGCCTAAACGGAACTAAATTTGTAGATAATGTATAGTTAGTAGTAGTTAGTAGTTAATAGCAGTAGTTAATAGAATATTTCACTCCTATCTCTTAATTTATTTCATCTGCATTTATATCTATAATCGTATCATCTGTTAATTTATTTCCACATTAAGCATGCTCAATAATTGTAAAGCCTAAACGGAACTTAATCTGTAGACAACTCATAAATAATATTGAACCTATGTTAACCAGGTTTGGGGGAGGCTAGTAGGATATTTAATTGGCAGTTTAGAAACCCACCACTACGCACAAGTGATTAACAATAGATATAAATTAAAATAAGTACAACAGTATCTAAAATGTTTATTAGACACACAACTGCTGAATGGTATTTTTCTTCTTCCTGTTAGAACCTATGGTTAATGTTGAACCTATGGTTAACCAGGTTTTAGGGAGGCTAGTAGGATATTTAATTGGCAGTTTCACAGCCAACCACAATGATCAAGTGATTTACTATATACTTGTATCTCAATGAAAAAAAATATAGCCGAGTCTTCATCTATATTGTTTATTAGACACACAACTACTGAATGGTATTTTTCTTCCTGTTAAAACATTTTTATTTTTGATTAATTTCGACCTTTTTTATTTTGATTTAAGGGACATTCTTTTTAATAAATTATAAACGGAACTTAATCTTTACATAGTTTTTAGATAATGTTGAAGCTATTGTTAACTACGTTTCAGGGTATTTTTCTTTACTTAAAACCATTTTTATTGTTTACTAATTTAGACCTTTTTATAAAAAATTCAAAATTATTAAAATTACAAACAATTTTTGTATATTATAATATTTTGTTTAGCAGCAATTATGCTTTTCTTTTCTGCACCAAATCTGTATTATTAATGGATTGCGATGTTATCGAAGTCATCTTTCTCCAGGCGTTATAAAGAAAAGACATCGTTTCGACATTAACTTTATTCCGAGTCCCTGGCCACAACTTAGCCCAAAACTATGAGTAAGCACTGAAATAAACCACATTTGTAGTCCATCTTTGTATACATGCCTCGATCGATATATTGACATGCTTAATGCATTAGAGCGATGTTTTGAATAAATGACACATCGCCCACAACTCATAACACTTCAATGTCATGGGACACACGTGTCATTCATTGGAAATGCGCTTCGTGCCGACACACACCCCCGATTCTGTTCAGTGTTTTGTATTTAATTCACTCACACGTGCGTGCTATTTTAATTACCCGTTTCGCATATTAATTTGCAAATATTCCCAAGTAGACTTACATAAGAACAAAACTGACACAAAAGCATTCGCTAAACTCAAAAATACTGCCATAAATCAGCTCTGTAGCTCTATTTATACAAGTTGTAGTTCCCATCTCGGGCAAAATTGCAATCAAATACTTACTATACAGAAATATAGAAGTCGGCTGCCAGTATTTGGCGCTGCTTTCGGACAATGCAAGGCTTTGTGCTAAGTTTCTCATTTATTCGTATTTGCTTTTTTACATAACATTGAACACTGGGCTCGATGTCTATATTTTGGGCTTACAATGTCATTTTAATGTAGTTGCTTCTTATTTTAAAAACCTTTAAAAACTGTTCATGTTTGAAGATATTTTTGCAAAATTTAATAGTAGTGTCTTTTTTTTTCAATCGTCGATTTTGAAGCACTTATTCTTTGATTAGTTTAACGTGTTGTTCATCAGTTGATGTTCTTGGTTAATTTTTGAAGAATTTGAAAAAACAATTGAACAAATCACTTTTTAATGTTTACAAAATACAAGCAGACATATGTAAGCAATGCAGAAATATGGAATATGGAAAAAGTTACAGTTTATAATAACAATGTTGCCTACATAAAAACCGAATCAGCCGCCCTATTTCAGGGTCATATCTGTGATTTATAAAAAGTATGAAGTATGAAGAACTGGGTCCTATTTTTAACAAACCATTTATTTGGCTTATTTTAATTTCAATTTAGTTTGTTATTATCTGTAATATTGAGAGTAAAAGAATGAGCTCGTCAACATGTATTCTTCCAGATAGGACTGATCATCTCTCCATAATTTGTAGTGCC